CCTCCTGCTGAAATGTCATTTGGGCAGAGGAGGTACACGGAGATTCATGAGGAGTCTTAGACCCCTCTTAAAAGTAAGCTCAATTAGCAAGATTATTAAAAAGTTTTACTGGAAATATTTAAGTCTAAAAGTATGCTAAGTATATACTTTTTAAAGAATTCTACCCCTGGCCACATTATTTCAATTAGGGTACCAAATATTGGAGAGTCATCTATGTCACCTATAGTAAGGCAAGTGTCCTTTGAAGAGTCATCTATGTCACCTATAGTAAGGCAGGTGTCCTATCATGAGGCCGGTGGCTGGCCCTCCTGGGGAATGTGAGGCAATGCCTGGGCACAGACTCAAGGTCAACCACTGCTGGGAGAGAGGAGCTCTTGCAGGTTGTCTGATCCCACCACCATTGGTTTCTTTACCCATGAAAGGGCAGTCTTACATGGCTCACAAGAGGTTGGGAGAATTCATGAAACCCGGAGCGAGTACAGTGAACTCCGTGTTCCATCCAGAGGTAAACAGTCTTGCAGACCTGGCAGGGAGCGCCTCTGTGGCTTTTCTTGCAGGCGTGCTAACAAGACATTAATAGAACAGTCGCAGTCAATAAGACCCAAAATGTGTAAAGCAGTACTGACAAGTTTTCAAAATAGAGATGAAATATACAAATACAACTTTGTATGTGTATATAACTTAAAATATGCTAATACCATAATCGATGCTACCTTTTTAAGAGTACTGGGTGGTAATTCTTAGAGTTGAGCTCACTTCAAGCTGCATCTGTCATCTGTTGTGTGACACAGTTCACTTACTGCCACAACTAATGTTCCTTCCTCCTGCATAATAAATATTTTCTTTTGACTGTTTGGATCAGTCATGCATATACTTTTGAGCCCTTTACCAAATGATCATTAACATCCTTCTGTGTTATTCTTTTTCTTTTGTTTCTTTTTTGTGATGTTGGGGATTGGACTCAGTACTCTAGCACCGAGCTACATGGGAGCCCTCTCTTTTTTCTTTTCTTTCTTTATTCTTTTTTTTCGAGACAGCATCTCACTAAATTCCCGAGGCTGGCCTTGAACTTGCAATCCTTCTGCCTCAGCCTCCTAAGTCACTGKGATTACAGTGCTATTTTTCTACAAGTTATTTTGTTGTTTGCAGAGTGCTCTCTGCATCATCTAATGTGAGATAGTTACTTAACTAGTCCCACCTATTGAGCCTTGGGTAGATTCTTATTACTCGTTATCGTAATCCTGCTATGATAACCATCCTTTTATTTATTTATTAAAAGTATTTATTTTTTAGTTTTAGGTTGACACAATATCTTTATTTTATATTTATGTGGTGCTGAGGATCGAACCCAGTGTCTCATGCATATCAGGTGAGCACTCTAAACTGAGCCACTACCCCAGCCCCAATAACCATCCTTTTAAAAATGTTGTACACATCTCTGATAAATCTTTTATAAAATGTTGGTTGTTTTCTGATAAAATTCCATAGGATAAATGGAATTAATATTAGTTGGGCACCGTAGCTCTTACCTGTGACCTCAAAGACAGGGGGCAAAGCAGGATGATCACAACTTTGAGGCTAGCCTGGGCAATTTAGCAAGACCCTGTCTCAAAAATAAAAATAAAGGGCTGGGGAGGTAGTTCAGTGGTAGAGTGCCTGCCTAGCATGCAGAGGCCCTGGGTTTGGCCCCAGCCCTGAAAAACAAAAAACACTGAAGGAGTATAAAGGTTGGGTAATATGTCCAAAACTGTGAGGAAATCCACGCCCTTCACCATACTGAGGATCTTACCCAGGGCCTTACTCATGCTAGGCACACTGAGAAATTTTTTTCCCTTCCTTCCTTCCTTCCTTCCTTCCTTCCTTCCTTCCTTCCTTCCTTCCTTCCTTCCTTCCTTCCTTCTTTCTAGGATCTCACCAAGTTGTCCAGCCTGGCCTCAAACTTGCACCCCCTCCTGCCTCAGCTTTCCTAGTCTCTGGGATTACGGGTATATGCCAACACACCCAGCTCCTCTCAGTGATTTTTAGGGGCTCTCAGTTTCCCTTGTCCTCACCAAAATAGTGTTTTATCACTTACCAAAAAAAAAAAAAAAAAAATGTTACCAAGCTAAGAGAAAGTAAATGGCTCAAGATACCCATTTTCCTCTTTTGATAAGTACATTATACAGGACATACCCAAGTCTTGACAAGGCTGAACTGTGAGTCTGAATCTTCATTGCAGAGCAAGGAGGATTCTGGTCCTAGCCAGCCAGCTTCCTTAGGTAGGTGATGTATTCCTGATAATTTGCTTTAAACACCCCAGGGGAGCCTGTGGGAAGCTTGTGTGTGCTTAACCTGAACCCAAGCCCCAGAGATCTTCCCTCCAGAGAGCATTATGACAAGCACTGTAAATAACTGCCTCCTGAGTCAGGCTCAGAGGCTGGTTAATTACATAAGGAAGGTGGGGTGAAGTCAATAGGATGTGCACAACCCTCTCTGCCCGCCATTGAACACCTCGAGAGGTGAGTCTGCAACACCTCTCTGGAGAATCACGTTTGGCTCTAGAACTCTTTTTTTTTTTTCCCCAGAACTCCCCGCCCCCCCCCCAACCAAGTATTTTGCTGCTTGCTCTGGATCAGCAGGTTTAGCTGATCCTTTAATTATAACATGGGGACACCTGCCTCAGGGAGAAACTTCTGCAAAGGTTGCCAGACAGCACCTGGAGGAATGGTGAAAGGGGGGTCTCTGCTGAACTTTCAGAAATGTTTTGGGCTCTTGTGATACCTCCATGGCACTGTCGCTCTTGAGGTGGAATTCAGTCTGAGACTTGTGCTCACTGTCATAAGACACCTAGCAGTGAGGTGGGGGGAGGGAGACAGGTTCGTTCTAACCTCTCTGAAACTTTGCTCATCTGCAGGATGGTTGTAAGAAATGGACTAAATTATCATAATTGTTATTAATATAAGAGAGAGATTTAGTGATAATTGGGATTGAAGCCGGGGGTGCTGTACCACTGAGCTATGTCCCCAGATCTTTTTATTTTGTTTTGAGACACAGGGTCTCACTAAATTGCCAAGACTGGCCTCAAACTGGCCATCTTACTGCAGTCTTTGAGTTGCTAGGATTATAGGGGTGTGCCTGGCTGGACTACATTATTTTTACTTCCCAGTTCCCCCCAAAATTCTAGATTGCCAGGTGCAGTGGTGAACGCCTATAATTCCACAGACTTGGAAGATTGAGGCAGGATGGCAAGTTCCAGGCCAACCTTAATAACTGAGTGAGACCCTGTCTCAAAATAAAACAGTAAAAAGGGCTGGAGATGTAGCTAAGTGGTAGAGCAACCCTGGGTTCAACCCCCAGTAATGAAAGAAACAAAACCCCCAAACAACATGAAAAACCCCATGGGTTTTAGATCCAGACTGCCTGGTGTCTTCATTCAATAGAAAGGAAATAGCTTTATAATATTTAATATTAATATTTAAGAGAAAGAAAGGTATACTGCAGGGAGATGAAATGAATCGTCCAGGACTACATTGCTCCACAATGCATGCAGTTTCTACTGGAATCGCCCTCGTTATGGACTGAACTGTCTGCCCTCCACACTCATTTTTTGTTTGTTTGCTTGGAGTACTGGGCGTTGAACTCTGGGCTAGGCAAGCACTTTACCACTTGGCTACACCCCCAGCCCGTTCAGTTTTATTCTGAGGCAGGGTCTCGCTCAGCTGCCCAGGCTGGCTTGGGACATGCAGTCTTCCTGCCTCCTCCTCTGTGGCTGTGATTACAGMCCTGCATCCAAGTCCTTACGCGATGCCCTGACCCCCAATGTGACGGGACATGCCTCCTGTCCTCCCATGTCATCATCAGAGTGCAGAAAACGGTCTGTTTCTCAAATTGGTGGAAGTTCTGTCACCTCACTTCACTACCCTGCTTCGCTCTTGGTTTAAAAACATGACCAAAGCTGGGTCTGTTCCAAGGGGCTTTCACCAGGCCCAGGAGTTGACACCACCATGAAATCAATAAAGGACAGAGTGCAGCCCATGCCATGGGAATGAGGTTTGCTTCAGATGAACAAAATTCTCAGAGGAGTCAAACACACTATTCCCAGATCTGTTACCAAGAGGTGTTCCTGTCTGACACATTTTCATGCATCACACAAAGCACAACGGTGTTTTTTCTGCCCCTATTCATGTAACTGTCATGCTCTCTGAGGGATTTATCCATCATCTTGTCTGCCCTGTTGCCTGGGAAGGAAATAGGAGAGCCAAGCAATTACTTTGGAATTAGTTCCCCAAGTTTAGAGAATCTCTGTTCTCAAGAACACAACCATTTGGCACTGGGTGATTTCATCAATTGACCTGATAGATTTTGTTTTTCAGCACTATGTATTGAACCCAGAGATACTCCACCACTGAGGTACACCCCCAGCCCTTTCTATTTTTTATTTTGAAGCAGAATTGCAGTAAGCTTCCGAGGCTGGCCTTGAACTTGTGATCCTCCAGCCTCAGCCTCCTATGTAGCTGGGATTATAGCCAAGACCCATAATGCACTGATTCCATTGTTTTTTGTTTTTTGTTTTTGGTACTGGGGATTGAACTCAGGGGCACTTGACCACTGAGCCACAACCCCAGCCCTATTTTGTATTTTATTTAGAGACAGAGTCTCACTGAGTTGCTTAGCACCTTGCTTGGCTTTGAACTCACGATCCTCCTACCTCAACCTACTGGAGCCACTGGGATTACAGGCCTGCACCACTGCACCCAGCTCCACAGTGATCTTTCAAAACCCCAAACATAGCATAGCTGCTAGGATTGGAATCGGTCCCCCTCCCACCTTTAGTTGTATATAGACACAATGCCTTTATTTATTTATTTATTTATTTATTTATTTATTTATTTATTTATTTATTTTATGTGCTCCTGAGGATCAACCCAGTACCTCACATGTGCTAGGCTAATGCTCTACCTTGGAGCCACAACCTCAACCCTGGAATCAGTTTTAACCTGTCACTTTCTCTTCAATTGCAGATAATTTTTAGATGGTGGAAGATATCTCTGAGAAGTGAGCATCGATCATCAAAACCTGGGGAAACAAAAGAAACTCATGAAGACTTCCTAGAGAATTCTCACCTTCAAAGTAAGGAAGGGACATATTATGTACTTATTGCTGTTAAGTTCTCTATGGTTAGTGATAGATTTTTATATATTTATGGCACTGGGAATTGAAACCAAGACCTTGCACATGGTGGGCAAGTGCTCTACTGCTCTATGCCAAACCCCAGTGATAGTTTTTTGTTTGCTTTTGTTTTTGAAATACTGGAGTTGGAACCCAGGGCTTCATTCATGTGATACAATAGCTTTACCTCTGAGCTACATCCCCAGTCCAGTGATCGATTTTTGTCAGAGAAATATCAAATATCAAATCTTTTGAAATACTGATATACAATTAATATAGAATATTGTATTCTTAAAAAGCAGAAAATTGTTAAAATATCCTGAAATTTCTTTGGGGAAAAATCTTAAAAGTTTTTCAGATTCCACATTAACATGGATTCCATTAAGGAAGTCAATTTTTTTTTTTACTGTAGTTCTTTAAAATGGGTTTCCTAGCCTGGGGTTTTAGTTAATTTTCTCGTTGCTGTGACTAAATGACCCGACCAGCACAACTGCAGAGCAGGAAGAGTTTATTTGAAGGCTCACAGGTTCAGAGGTGAGCCTCTCAGTCCATAGAAGGCCAGCCCCACTCCTCCAGGATCAAGGTGAGGCAGAACATCATGGAGGAAGTGTGTGGCAGAGGGAACCAGCTCACAAGATGATCAGAAAGCAGAGAGACTCCACTCTCCAGATACAAAATATATACCCCATAGCCATGCCCCCCAATTAACCATTCCCTCGAGCTATGCCCTAACATTTCAGTTACTATTTAATCCCTATCTGGGGATCAATTCAYTGATTGTGTCAAGATTCTCACAACCCAATCAGTTTTCTTCTGAACCTTCTTGCATTGTCTCACATGAGAGCTTTTGGGACACACCTCACATCCAAACCATAACACATACATGTACAACAATATAACAGTACATGCTTGTAATGCCAGTGATTCAGGAGGCTGAGGCAGGAGGATTGTAAGTTTGAGGCCAGCCTCAGCAATTTAGCAAGACCCTCTCTCAAAATAAAAAATAAAAAGCCCTGGGGATGTAGTGTAGTGGTAAAGCACCCCTGGGTTCAATTTCACATATCAGAAAAATAAATTATTATTATTATTATTATTTTTTTAATATTTATTTATTTATTTTAGTTTTCGGTGGACACAACATCTTTCTTTGTATGTGGTGCTGAGGATCGAACCCGGGCCGCACGCCTACCAGGCGAGTGCGCTACCGCTTGAGCCACATTCCCAGCCCAGAAAAATAAATTAAAATAAAATAAAATTAATTAATTAAATAGAATGTAGAATGGTCCTTTAGTTAAAAATATATTAAAAGGTTATTTGAAAACTTAATGGAATTATCAAATTCTTGAACTCTTCTGTATTTTGCTGTTCATTTAAAATCTGTTTCTAAGAAAGTAGAGATTTTAAAAAATGAATAAAATGAAATTCCCATTTATTTATTTATTTTTTTCATTTCTGACCTCAAGCRTGCTGGGTAAGTGCTGTACCACTGAGCTCCACCCCGGCCCTCTGTTTCTTTTAATATCAAGATTTTCTGGAGAAGTAGTTCTAATTAAGTAGAACATTAGAGTTAGTAATAGAAATTTCTTTCCAATTTCCCTTTTCCTTTTTTTCCTCTTATTAAAAGATAAACATAGGCACATGTTAAAATTTTATCAAGTTTATTTGAGTAGACAGAAATTCATGAACTGGGTGGTGCCAAACCACAAGCAGTTTGGGCCCAACCAAGAGGGCAGAAAGGGAAAACTTTTATAAGGTGTACATAGAGGTAAAATATGGAAAATATTTTACTAGTTTAAGTGGAAAGTCCCAGTTGGAGGTTAGTTGGTGGTTTCTGATTTGTAAATTCTCCAGTTAGACATTAGCTGGCAGTTTCTGATTGGTTGACCTCACATTTTGTTTTCCTGGGCTGTGACCCTTCATTCCAGTTGTACCTGTAACCTAGTCTAAACAATGCGCAACATGTGACCAAATAAGCTATGAATGAGCCCTGGATTGTTTTGAAGCAAATCCCAGTTGTTACATCATTTCCTCTTAAGCTGCTTCAGTATATGTTTCTATTTTTTATCTATTTATATCTATCTATCTATTTATCTATCTATTGTGCTAGGGATCAAACCCAGGGGCACTTTACCACTGAGCTACATCTCCAGGCCTCTGATTATGTTTTTAAAGTTTGAGACAGGATCTTGCTAAGTTGCTGACAGTCTTATTAAATTGCTAAAGCTGGCTGTAAACTTAGGACACTCCTGCTTCAACCTTGAGTTACTGGGATTACAGACATGTGCCACTGTGCTTGGCTCTTTGTGTGTCTCTAAAGGAACTCTTTTCCACTAAACTCTAATAATTTTTCCTTAATACTAAAATTCTAAAACTAGAAGTCACTCTAGAAATTCTTATTAGTCATAGTTAGCAATGGTATTAATATCAAGTACTTTGTTTGAATGTTCCCATTTTATTGATATAATATCTCTGTAAGATAATGAGATAATGAGATTTAGAACAGATGTGACTTTTCAAGGTCTTATAGGGAAATATTGATGTCACCAAGATTAAGCATGGAAAGTCAAAAAGTCAAGTATAGTAGTCGATGGTGATGGTGATGATGATGATGATGATGATCTAGTAGTAGTAATAGGAGTAGAACCCAGAGCCTCACACATGGTAGGCAAGCACTTTACCTCTGGACTAAATCTCCAGTCCTTTTTTAAAATTTTTAAATTAATTAATTAATTTGGTACCGGGGATTGAACTCAGGAACACTTAATCTCTGAGTCACATCCCAAACCTTTTTATTTTATTTTTTTATTTTGAGACAGGGTCTTACTGAGTTGACTAGGGCCCCACTAAATTGCTAAGACTAGCTTTGAACTTGCAATCTTCCTGCTTCAGCCTCCTGAGTCACTGGGGTTACACCTGTGTACCATCATGCTCAGCTTAAAATTTTATTTTGAAACGGTGTCTTTTTTTTTTTTTACAGATGTGAAAACGGGTCATTAATGGCACAGATCTTTTTATTTATTTATTTATTTATTTATTTTTTAGAGAGAGTGTGAGAGTGAGAGACAGAGAGAGAGAGTTTTTTAATATAATTTTTTAATTTTAATTTTAATTTAATTTAATATAATTTTTTAATTTAATTTTAATTTAATTAAGAGTTTTTAAATTTAATTAATTAATTAATTTATTTATTTAGTTAGTTAGTTTTCGGCGGACACAACATCTTTGTTTGTATGTGGTGCTGAGGATCGAACCCGGGCCACATGCATGCCAGGCGAGCGTGCTACCGCTTGAGCCACATCCCCAGCCCCTTGAAACGGTGTCTTGAAATAAAAATTTAATACTGAGGATTGCACCCAGGGGTGCTTTACCACTTAACTACATTCCCAAATCCTTTTTATTTACTTGGTTTTTTATTATTTTGAGACAAGGTCTTGCTAAGTTGCTGAGGATCTCACTAAATTGCTGAGGCTGGCCTTGAACTTGTGATTCTCCTGCTTCAGCCTCTTGAGTTGCTGGGATTGTGTATCACCATGTACCAATTCAGTACCATAATGGAATAGACTATTAGAAGGTGGTAAACCATGTAGGATGGGGTCTAACTGGAAGAATTAGGTCACTGGAGTCATGCTCTGGAAGGGTTTACGTCTCCTCTGTTTTCTGTTTGCTAAGAGGCTAGACACCTTCCCCTGCCACACCTTTCTGCCAAGATGTACTGCTCACCATCGGCCCGGAAACAGGAGCAGCTGACATGGACTGAAATATGTGAAACCATGAGCCAAAACAAATTCTTCCTCCTTGAAGTTGATTTTCTCAAGTGTTTTTTCACAGAAATGTAAAGCTGACTAACATAGAAAATTGGTACCAAGAAGTAAGGCTGTTGTGACTTTGCCTGACCGTGTGATGTAAAAGTCTTCAGAGCTGATTTGTGGGGGGAGTTTGGAAAGGTTTGGAGATGCAGTAATAGAAGCCCTAAAATGTTGTAAGAAGAGCTTAATAGATGATTCTGGAGTGATTTCGGAAGACCAGAATGCTGACAGGAATGCAGACAGTAAAGACTGTGCTCATGAGACTTCAGATTAGAAGTAGGACTTTAAAAAGAATTAGACTAGGGCTGGGGATGTGGCTCAAGTGGTAGCGCGCTCTCCTGGCATGCGTGCGGCCCGGGTTCGATCCTCAGCACCACATACMAACAAAGATGTTGTGTCCGCCGAGAACTAAAAAATAAATATTAAAATTCTCTAAAAAAAAAAAAAAATTAGACTAGAAACCATTCATGTTACATTTTGACAAAGAACTGGTCTACATATTATCCATTTCCTGAGACTTTGTTCAAAGCTAAGTTTAAAGGTGACAGACTTATCTGGTAGAGGAAATATCAAGGCAGCACAGCATTCAGTAGTAACATGGATATTGCTAGCTGCTTTTAGCCAGGTTTACTGTGAGAACAGAGAAAAAAAAAAATCAGGGGCACTTGGCCACTGAGCCACATCACCAGCAGATCAGAAATATTTGAAAAACTTAGCTGGATGGGGCTGGGGTTGTGGCTGAGCGGTAGAGCACTCACCTAGCACGTGCGAGGTGCTGGGTTCGATCCTCAGGACCACATGCATAAATAAGATAAAATAAAGGTATGTGTCCAGCTACAATTAAAAAAAAATTAAAAAAAAAAAAAAAAAACTTAGCTGGACGCAGCAGCACRTGCCTGCAGTCTCAGCAACTCTGAAGACTGAGGCAGAAGGATTCCAAGTTCAAAGCCAGTCTCAGCAATTTAGCAAGACCCTCAGCAACTTGGTGAAACCTTGTCTCAAAATAAAAACTAGAAAATTCAGGGGATTTAGCTCAGTGTTAAAGTGCCCCTGGATTAAAGTTTCAGGAAAAAAAAAAAGATTTAAAAAACTTGCAGTTTGGTCACAAAAGGAGTATGTTTAAAGTTAAGTCTAAGGAAGAGATAGTTRCTGAAG